TAAGAATGTGGAAGATACAGTTTCATTTATGATTCTTAGACAAGAGGCCAGACAGAAATGCAGCAGGGTGGCAGGGGTGGGGGCTCTGGAGGGCACAGGGCACCTTGGGCTGCCCAACTCTGAGTCTCAGCTGTCACCCTGGGAGAGACTCACCTGTTAGTCGAGGGCCCTGCTAACATCCCAGAAGGCGGGTGTCCCGACAGCCAGCCAGGGGTGTGGATCAGAATGCAGCTCTGGCCTTCATTTTACCCCCTGGAAGAGGCAGATATGGCCAGAGCCATGCAGCTGTCCCTGCCCAGGCCCAGCACGGGCACAGCCAGCCAGTGCCTGAGCTCCAGCAGCAGCAGAGTGGTTTCTGGTCAACCACGGGAGGAAGCCGTTCTGAGCCCTTATGCCAGCAGAGGAGGGCGGGGGAAGGCACTGGGAGGTTAAGGTCAGTGCTGCCCGCCCCCGTGGACACTTACAACTCTGACACTTACAATGCTGCCAGGAAGGAAGAGCTTATGAGTCTGAACTTTTAAAAAGAACACATGGGAGAAAAGTAAGAATTCAGACCAAAGATCTCTAAAACTGAAGCATAAGGTGAGGGACACCCCGCCAACCCAAGTATCTTTGCTGCACATTCCCTTCTTGCTCTGCCCCCACAGGTGCCAAAACTCAATTGTGATGCAAGGCCAGTGGACTTTGACCTGTACTGGTTCCCCGCAGGGAGAGACTGGGCCAAAAGCTTCCTGACCGGCTCTGAGGGCCTGACCTAAGGGAATCCTCATTCCCGACGCCTCTTGAGATGGCACGTGTGGGTGGCACGATCAGCCGTGCGCTGGACCACTTCACACTCACATGAAGGTCCAGTGCTGAGCTGTCAGGAAACTGTCCAGCCTGTTTTTAAAAACAGCCATCATCAACACGGAATATATTTATATGTAAATCGTACTAAAAACAAAGGTAATAAACACTCAAAACTCATAACCTCCTAATCGTTTGGCGCTTTTTTTTTTTTTTTACTATTATGTATGCTCTTGACATTACTTATTGCTACAGGATCTATAAAGTGAAGACCTTCTAGAACAGGGTGTGCCTAAAGTTGGCCAATGTGGGAATATTTATGCAGACATTGGCAAAGGCTATAGATAAGACTCCCCAGCACCAACCCCCCCACCTTGCACAGCCAGCTGTTAAACATTTACTAGCACACAACCGCCCAGGTAAACAAGCCTGTGTTCCCAGTATGGACATCCCCCGCTCAGCTCCAGACTAGTACATCAGGCACAGCTGACCGTGTCGGCTGTGCATCTATCTACCAGACTTAACATGTTCAAAACTGAACTGAGCCGTCCCCCAACCTAGTCAAACGCACTCTCCACCCCCTACCTCCCACCCCCACTCTCTTCTCAGTAAATTGCAACTCTATCCTTCTAGGTGTCCAGGCCACTAATCTTGGGGTCATCTGATCTGATGGTAAATCCTGTAGTTTCTATCTTCAAAATTTATCTAGAATATAACTACTTCTTGCCACCTTCTACCACTCCCCCCATCTGTCTGGATTACTGTGGGAACCTAATCAGCCTCCTGCCTCTACCTCTGGCCCCTGGAGAGTTACGACTCCGCACAGCACCCAGAATGACCTCCTAAGTGCAGGTGAAAGCGTGTCATTCCTCTGTTCAGAGGTCTCAGGCTCCACACATTTGGGCCCCGCCCCGTCACCCCTTGGACCTCTCTTCCTTCTCTCCTGCCCTCTCTAGGTTCCCACTGCTCAACCTGCTGCCTCAGGCCCTTTGTACTTGCTTGCTGTTCCCTCTGCCTGCTCCCCCAACCCCAGTGGATATCCACATAGCTCCCCCTAACTTCAGCTCCAGGGGGCTTCCTCAGGCCACTCCATTAAGCTGTAAACCCACCACCTCCCTCTCGCCCTCTCTGCTCTCCTCCCTGCTTTATCTTTCTGGGCTCACACTGCTTTCTAATGTACTGTTTGATGACGACTTTGCTCATTGCCTGCTAGTCCTCCCCGCAGGACTCTCAGTCCAGTGAGGACAGGGACCGTGGCTTGTTTGGCCCACTGCAGCAGCCCMGTCTCCAATGGCCTGGCTCACAGGAGGCACCCTGTAAACATTTGCTRAAGGAACCAAGAAGTAAATCCCATTTGCACAGGTCTGCTGTCACCTTGTGTGCACGGTACCTGCATCTGAGTGACAGCACATTGGAATGAAGCTCTCCTGGTGACTTCAAGCACAGGGACAGGGCACACATCGGCAGCTGGTTACCACTACTAACAATACTAACTTAACAATACTACCAGTAACAACAGCTGTGGAGAGTACTGAACGGCATGCCAAATGCTAGGCTCGGAGCTAGACATGGATCCTGTCATTTAATCCTTTCCACAACTCTGCAGTAGGTCCTTCCATCAACCCTGTGTTTGGTCATGAGAGGAAACTAAGGTGCAGAGAGGTAAGATAACTTACTGACAGATAGCGTAGAGGGGACAGGGTCTGAGTACAAGCAGTCTGGTTCCAGAGCTAACCTCTCATCCACCTGCACAAAGTGTGGCTACATCCTCAAGGGCAAAATGAGAACATGGCATGGTCTGCTCCTCTGTAAGGCTGGACCGTGGGTGGCTGAGGCCTCACAAGCCATGTCTCTCACATAGGCCAGCCACTATAGCAGCTCTGCTCCATGAGGTCAAGTCGCCCTGAACACTAATGGCTGCTAATCAGCCTGGGCCTCACGTCCACAGTGATTCACACTCCTCCTTCTGGCACTGCACAGGCATCTTGCTGAAGCCTGAGGTGCTCTATTAAAACCTGGATGTCCCTGGAGGCTAGTTTCTGGAGAACTGGTTGAATGAGAGAACTCTGGATTCAGCTCTGCTCTGCCGCTCAACAGCAGGGTGACCTCAGACAAGACATTTAACCTCTTGTACCTCAACCACAGAATGGGAAAACAAGTTGATTACAAGGGCACATGGAGATATTCCACAGGAGGCATTTGGGCAATGCTTGGGAACAGTGAGCACTCAAGAAATGCAAGCTTTTATCACTGAACACCAGCTCTTCTCGCCAGCTTCTCAGAACTGCTGCAAAACTTATTAACCGTCTCACAACAGAAAAAATGCCAAGGAACAGCGCAGGACAGTTCATCAGGGTCTTCCCATCCTACCAATGAAAAAGTAAAGGGTCCAATGCTGGCAGGGTTAAAAGGTCCTGGCCAGAAAAATAAAAAAGAGGGACAAGTGCAAACCCCCCATTCAGCAACCGTAGGCCCTCCACTGAACTGTTCTGGGCCTTTCTATCCAGATGCAAAACYGGGATAACCTCCATATTTTTATTGGTACAGGTAACTGTGCATAATGGTAGGACTTGTGGCCACATATTTGTACCTACACGTATTACAACAATATAATTTGGCCAATACCACTCCCAACATTTCTGTCCTCTCTCCCTTCCTCCCTTCTCATAGCTCCTCCTCCTCTACTGATTTCCCTTCTATTTTCATGAGATTCCCATACACACACACACACACACACACACACACATTCATTTCTTTTCCTTTCTCCTCTAGCTTTCAAATATGAGAGAAAACATACAACCCTTGACCTTCTGGGTTTGGCTTAGTTAGCTTAACCCAATGTTCTCCAGTTCCATCCATTTACCAGCAAATGACATAATTTCACTCACTTGATGGCCGAATAAAACTCCATTTGTATACATATCACATTTTCTTTATCCATCCATCCATTGATGGACCCGCAGCTGGTTGCATAGTTTGGCTATTGTGAATTGTTCTGTAAACCTGGGTATGGTGTGCCTGTATCTCTAGAGTATGCTGACTTTAATTCTTTAGGGTAAATACTGAGGAGCTGACCTATCTCATTGTAATGTCTGGCCACAGCAAGCCAAATCAGGGCATAAGTATGCGGTGGGAGGACATGGTGGTGAGAGATCTCCCAGGCACCTGACTCCCAGCCCAGGACTGCAAATAGTCACATTACACTCCTGCTCTGACAGGTCAGGACCGTGGGTTAGAGCCTGGCAGACTCCATGAGGAGGTCGGCAACAAGCAGTGACACTCTGGCTTATTCAAATTCCATGAGTAAAGCAAGAAGTGACTCGGCTACAAACGATGGAAGAGAGGTTTTCCTTTCAGTTTCCCTCTGTTGGCTCAGATTAGTTTCCCTTTGAAATGGCCCAACCTTCAGGCAGTAACCGTAATTTAGTAAACTCGGGCCTTTGGATGAAAGCCAATCGAGTGTCTTTCCTTAGTGTGGCTTTCTGTTAGCAGTCATGTGTTTCAAAGACACTTCACACACACACACACACACACACACACACACACAATCTGAAAAATGAGCTCTGCTCATGCCAAACACCGCACTTTGATCTCGGGTGTTCCTAAAAGGTATCAAAAGATGAGTCTCAGAAACTCAAGAATACTTCCAATCACCCATCGCTGCAGAAAATGTAGAAGAGAATCTTAAATATGCCCTGTCAATAGGCGTTTTCTGTCATCTGCTACCTTTCRCGACCACGGGGGTGCGGTGGGGGACAGATCGTGGCCTTGGGAGATCTGGCCATGCAGTCCACGTGGGTGGGCTGGTTGTCAGGGACCACTGGCCGGTGCACCGGGACCGAACCGGGGCCAGGCCACAGCTTCAACGCCGCCGCAGAGGACGTCGCTCCCGGAAGCCTGGAGGGGACGCTCGGGCCCGGGCCCGGCCAGCTCCACTGACCGGCCACCCGTCCCCAGGCGGCCGTGCTGCTAGCTCTGGGCAGGAGGGCCGCGCCGGGGCTGGGCGGCGGTGGAGGCTGGCGCGGGCCGCGTGCGCCGGGGACGCCGGGGACGCCGGGGACGCCGGCCACCGCCTGGCCAGGCTCGCGGCGGGTTATTCATAGAGCAGCCCCGAGAGGGCGGGGGTGGCAGCTTACTTCATCTCGCTCGTCACAGCCCGCCGCTCCTCCGGGAAGTGGCGGGCCGCGGGGCCGCGCCCGGGGGCTTCGGAGCCGGCCTGCGCCCCGMGCCGCGCCTCCTCGGCCGCCGGGGGCCGCCCTGCAGGTGCGCGCGTCGCGCGGGCCCGCGCCTCCCGCGCTCGGGGTGCCCGGGCGCCGGGTCGGCGAGAGCGGGGCGCGCTCCCCAGGCCAGGCGCCGCAGACGCGGGGACGCGGGGACGCGCGGCCGCAGGGCCCGGCGGGCAGGCCTCGGGCCACCAAGGCGCGCAGGGCGGGGCGAGGGCAGGCCACGCCCAGGACCGCGGGGGGCCTCGCGGGGGCGGGGCTAGGCTGCCTCCCGGGTCACCGGGCGAGGCCGGACTCCCTCCCTCCCATCCTCAGCCTCCTGTCGTCCGGGCTCTGCTGTCCAGCGTAGGGATGCTGGCCGCGTCTCCAGGAGRTGCACAGCAGCTGATGGTGTCCTGGAGGAGACCGGCGGGTTGCTGGCTCCTCCTCTGAGACCGGGACCGCTTACCTGGCCTCCCAGGCCTCGCTTTCCCCCACCCGTAGGGTGACCTGCTGGGTCCGCCCGGGGTCGGTATCCACAGGTGGCGGATCTTTTCCTTTCTCCTCTAGCTTTCAAATATGAGGGAAAACATACAACCCTTGACCTTGATCTCCTGCACCTTATTCCAGTGGCCTTCATCTATACAGTGGGGACAATGAGAGCACCTGCCTCAGGTTGTTGGCACAGGTGGCTTAGTAAATGGCAGCTTGTACCTGTGTGGCTTAAAGATAGACAGTGAGCGGAAGATAGTGTTTACATGGGATAACAGGGTCACTGCCTCTTGAGCACCCCGGCATGGCATGGTGATTTCTGTCCTCCATCCCTCCCTCACCCTGCCCCAACCTCCAGTCCAACCTCCAGTCCAACCTTGAGCSTGCTTTCCTCCCAGCCCTACGGCTCTGTCAGTGCCCCTGATGGCCCCCTCCGTGGGCCTTTCTCCCAACAGAGAGCAGTGACCTGGGGCCCCTTAAGGCAGGGCTGCTGCYTCACTGGTCAGCCCAGGGTCCCCTCCTGGACATGGGTGCCCTATTCCCACTCTTGGAGCATCTTACTCCTGTCCCTTCTTCAYACCCACCCCCTGGCCACCCCAGGGCCAGAGTCTGCCTGGTCAYCTCTGCTGAAGAACACTGGGCCACCCTGGAGAGGGGATTCTGAACCGAGAAAACTTACAGCAGCTTTTTCTCTCAGGACGGTTTCCTTAGAGGAGTATCAGGAACCAGCCGAGGAACCTGGCAACGATGGCCCAGCTACGTGGGGCCAACAGACGTGATTACCACACAGGATGTTGGGCAAGGGAGTTCCRGGAAGACCGGGGAGCAGAGGGACACCAAGCCCTCGGAGCCTCAGCGAGGATTTAGGTCATACCAGCAGGGTCTGGGGTGAGCAGGAGGGTCCAAGGCATGGGATCAACCAAACAGGACAGGGCTGGAGCTTAGAGCCCTGCCTACATCCCATAGCCCTGTGAAACACAGCTGGGAAAACCRGGACCAGGGAAGGCACAGGTGGGAGTGGACAGGTGCCCAGAGACTGAGATGAACCAAGGGACGTTTCTCCCAGACTTCTCTGCAGCCATCCGTCACAGAGTGACCTGTTACCTTGAGAACCTCAGAATTCTGTTCCTGTTTCTATTCATCAATAAATCATTATCTTAATGATAAAATAAAATAGCCCCCAACCCTGTCAGCTTCACTAGCTTTGTAAGGAAATGCCTCCGTGCCCGCTTCACTGGGTACGGTGGGGCGGGGGCTGGGGAGGGATGAGCCCAGGTGTCGCACCTGTTCTCCCAGTAGTCTCTCCTCTCCCGCGCCACTGTGAGATGATCTGCCTCTGCTTCCTCACCTTGTCTCATCTCAGTCTCGYCCCGCCTCGTGCCTTCTAGTTGGACCTGGGCCATTGTTTCGCTGTGTCCACCATGGAAACCAGTTGGTCTTGCTAACTCCGACCCYAGCCACCAAGGGGTGAGTCTTGCTTCCCAGTAACCAACATCTACAGCCCTGTGCATGCGGGCCTCGTGATTGGCTCCAGCCCCTGGGCCTCTCTGAAGTTCTGTCCATCCACCTCTGTGCTGACTGCAGCCACTAGACACAGCTGGCCACCAGTACCACCGTCACCAGGAACCAGGTGTGCCCACGGCCCTGTGAAAGAAGCCAGAAGGAAAGAGGGTGCCCCTGGAGGAGGGGAAACCCTGTGACCAGATTGTCTGTGGTTTGTCTCATGCTGCATAAGGAAGGCCTCGGGGCTGGTCATGGAGCTACTTAGGTTTGGATTTTCCTTCCTGGTCTTTGAACTTGGAATAGGCCAAAGCCAGGGTTAACTCAGCCAGCTTCAAACCATGGAGASTGAGGCCCGGCGAGATGAATGACTCACAGAGCTGTCTGTGGAGTTAGAAATAAAGTCACGTTGCAGTTTCTATTTTCAGGTACCACTCCCTAAGTCAGCGCTACTTGCTGGCTCCGTGCTTTTCGCAGGGGGTGGGAGGGGAGGGAACAGGTGCCGTAGATTTCAGCCACATGTAGATTTTCCCATCCCCGGACACGAGGTGTCTCAGAACTCTTTTTTTTTTTTTTTTAATTTTTCACAATTGGCTTCGCAAAGTAGTGATGATTTAGTTTTTATTGCTGCCACGACAGTTTACCACAAYTAAGCCCAGGTTTATTTTCTCACTGTGGCAGAGGTCAGAAGTCGGACCCGGGCCCCACTGGGGTGAGGTGCTAYGTGGAAAAGCCATTTTCTTGTTCACACAGTGCATTAGGCGCTTTCTGCCCAGGGCAGAATTCAGTGCCTTGTGGTTTTAAGAATAAAATCTCCGTTTTCCTTCCGGCTTCAGCTGAGAGTATCCCAGCTAGGAAGGTCCTCGGTTTGTGGGGCCTCCCTCCATCTGCTAGGMCAGCAATGGAAGGTGGGGTGCCTCAAATTCCTCCTTCTTTTATCAGGGTCACCTGTGACTCGGCTGGGAAAGGGTGTCTGCTCATTGGACTGGATTAGGGACATCTGTGTAATCCAAAATACTCAGAAGCTGTACCCTTAATCACCTGGACTCCTTTAAGGAGTTATKACTTTTCCTACCACAAATTATAAATTTACAGATGATTCCAACCCCCCCTTGTGTGTGTGGGTGGGTGGGGGGTGGAGGGTGTTCCTGGGAATTGAACTTAGGGCCTTGCACGTGCTAGGTGTGTGCTGTACTTTTGAGCTCCATCACCAGTCCTTTTTTATCTTTTATTTTGRGACAGGGTCTCACCAAGTTGCCCAGGCTGGCCTTAAACTTGTGATCTTTCTGCCTGAGCAGCTGGAATTACAGGCTCAACCCCTCTTGATTATGCAGGATCTTTATCACATCAATTCTTATAAGAACCTTATTGAGATAATAAGATAACCTTATTCACATTCTACACAATTCACTGACTTAAATGTGCAACTMAGTGGTTTTTAGTATGTTCAGTTGTGTGACCATCTCCACAACCAAACTTAGAATCTGTTTTCATCACCCAGAAAGGGATCCCTGTACCCATTAGAATCACTGCCTATTTCCCCCCAAACTTCTAAAACCACTAATCGGTTTTCTGTCTCTATGGACTTGCAGATTCTGAACATTTCATAGAAACAGACCATACAAATGAGGCCTTTTGTGTCTAAACATACCTGTGTCTGTCTGTATGTTTTCAGGGTTCATATGTGTTATAGCATGTATCAGCATTTCACTCCTTCTCATTGCTAAATAATATTTAATTGTATATTCTTACAATAAATAATATTTAATTGTGATTAATTTATTTGTACTTAAATAAATAATATTTAATTAAATAAATAATGTTTAATTGCGTGGATCAAACACGTTTGCYGATTCATTCATCAGTTRATGGACACTGGGGTTGTCTGTACTTTCTGACTGTTAGAAGCCACGCAGCCATGGACATGTGTGGGCATGTTTTAGGTGGACACATATTTTCATTCTTCCTGGGCACATTCTCAGGCAGGACGAAGGGTCATAGGGTCACCCTATTCTAGCCCCGGAGCCACCAAGCTCTTTTCCAAAGTGGCTCCATCTTTCTTGCTCCCCCGAGTGAGGCACAAGATTCCAGTTGCTCCACATCCTCGTGAGCACTTGCCACCCTCTGAGTTCTGGGTCACAGCCATCCCAGTGGGTGTGAAGGGGCTCCACTGTCACTGTGACTCCCTGACAGCCCACGACGGTGTCTTTCCATGTACTTATCGGCCATTTGGGCATCTTCTTTGGAGAACTGAGTTAGTTTCTCTGCCCATTTCGGCTGAGCTCAGTTTCCCTTAGTTGTTGGCGTCCCTTCTGTATCTAGGTATGAATTCTTTACCAGATACATGATTATTTGCAATTTTTTTTCCTGCCCTTCTGTGAGTTGTCTTTTTACTTTCCTGATGGAGTCCTTGAAGGTGGAAACATTGTCAATTCTAATGATGGCCAATTTATCTATTTTTCCTTTTCGGCTTGTGGTGCTGGGGATGGGGCCAGGACCCCCAGGTGCAGGGCGAGTGCTCTCCCACCCAGCCGCGCTCCCAGTCCCTGTTTTTATTTTTCCTGATCCAATGTCATGAAGATTTTTCCTTGTCTTCTAAGAGTTTAATAGTTTGGGCTATTCTATTTAGGTGTTTGGGGGGTTTGGTTTTCTTTTCTTTTTGGTGGTGCTGGGGTTGGAACCCAGGGCCTCATGCATGCTAGGCGAGTGCTCTCCCACTGAGCCCCACCTCGTACCCCCACGTTGCAGCTTTTGGTCATTTTTGGTTATATTGCTGTATGTGATGGGAGGTGGGAGTCTGATTTCCCTCTGTGGCGTGTGCATATCCAGTTGTCCCAGGATGCAACTGTTGAACTGTCACATGCTGCGCTTGTTCAGAGAGATGCACAATACCAACAGGACCAAAGCACCTGCCCCGTCCAGTGAGACAGACCCTAGCTGACCAAGACCTGGCAAATAAAAGACCCTTTAAAAAGGACTGTCCAGTGAGCACGGTGAGATCTCAGGAGCCAGGGCCATCAGGTCCCGTGGGTGGGGGGGGTCCCCTTTGCTCTGCACATGGCACGTGTAACTCTGAGGATGCTGTCTGCAAGCGGYCACTCGGCCACAGTCTGAAGAGGTCTGCATGCCCTGGTGTGGAAGGGAAGCCGCTGGTGCTGGTGCTGCCTGAGCCAGGTCTCAGGAGGGAAAGAGCCCCACATTCTGCTTGCAGCTTCCTGGGGTGGGGGCCGTAAAGGGAAAAGAAGAGAGAGATGGGAGAGCAGTTGGCCTGAGCGTGAGCCAGAGAAGGACCTGAGTAAGGAAGCGAGAGGCACCTGGACAAGGTCGACACTCCTTGCCTTAAGCTTCCAGAGGGGGAAGATGAAATGAAGAGACAAAGTGCTGGCAGCCACCGCAGACATCACTGCACCAGCTGGAGCTGCATTGTGTCCTCTGGGCCAAGTGGAGACGCAGCCTGGGCACMGCCAAGCCAGGGGTGAGCCTGGGGTCTGGGGAAGGACAAGGCACCCTTGCAGGGGAATGTGATGGTCAGCAGGACCTCAGGAGACCCAGCGGCTTCCYGTTGGCCTCTCCAGGAAGCAGGCGCTGTCTGTCTTCCCCAGGACTAGACTGCAGTGGCCTGGTCTGGGGCCAGGAGTCTGGGAGCCTCTGATGAGCCGGCAGTTCCCCAGTGTCTGCAGGGTCACGGCAGGGGACAACTCTGCGCTCATCGGCCCCCAGCACTCCTCCAATCCCAGCAATGCAGGTAAGAYGCCCCTCGTCCATTCAACCAATCGGGGCACAGCCTGGGTCAGGAGCTTCACCTCCACTCCAAGCCGGGGTGCAAGGTGGGGGGATGGATCATAAGCAGCAGAACGTCGCCAGTGCCACAAAGAGAATAAAACCTAGCCCTGGGTCAGGACCTCTGGCTGTGTACTTCCAGGCGTGACAGTTGACGGAGACCAAAGGGAAAGAGGCTGGACATGCAGAGATGGCAGCGGCCCCCAGGCCGGGGCATCCCTGAAGAACGGAAAGGAAGCTGAGCCAGAGCACTGAGCAGAGGTGGCTTGAGAGCGGGTGGCAGGGCCGTGGAGCCACGGTGGAAACCCTGGGCTTCATTCTGATGTGTAACAGAAGGCTCTGGGAATTATTAAATTAGAAAGTGACACGACCAATTTTCATTGAGAAAAGTGCTGCATCCCTGGGTCATGGGCCTGGGGAGAAGCATGGCTGGGCCATGGTGGAGCCTAGGAACCCGGATGCACGGCTCCCAGGTGCCCTCAAGTGTAGGTTTGGGACTGGGAGTGTAACTCAGTGGGAGAGCACCTGCTGAGCCTGAAGAAGACCCCCGCTTCCATCCCCAGCACTGCAAAGAAAAAAAAAAAAAGGAAAGAAGGAACAAAAGACTGTTACATTTGCAGACCTTAACAAGTGGGAGCATGGCACACCATGGGGTGCCACTCAGGAAGCCGCAGAGTGGGTGGGGGAAGAGAGAATGAGTGGGAAACGGAGGCAAGAGCCTGCATCGTGGACTGTGCTGTGAGGAACTGGGAGGCAGGGTGAGCAGCCTCAGGACTGGATATGTGGATGCTCTCAGCAGGCTCCAGGCAGAGGGACTGGATTAATTCGTTTTTATTGCTGTAACAAAATACCTGAAACCGGATCTTTTATAAAGAAAAAATGTTTCCTTAGCTCACAGTTTGGAAGATCTAAGAGCATGATGCCCTTTGACAATATCACATGTCAAATGGCCTCATAGTGGGAGCACCTGTGAGATGCAGATATCACATGGACAGACAGGAGGCCAGAAGATGGGTTGGCTCAGGATTCCTCCTTTAGAGCAACCTACACTTATGAGAGCAACCAGGGTCCCATGAGAACTACCTTATCCCTTCTGATGGCAGTGGATGGTCGTTTGAAAGGAATGAGGATGCAAAATTTCCTGTGAGCCATTTAGAAGCCATCCTGGGCTCACCATTTCAGCAGCTATGATTTCCAGGTGGCTCTCCCCTGTCCAAGGCCACAGCCAGGTCCCCGAGGCCACAGCCCAGGAACTGGATGCTTCTAGATCTGTGATAGGAGATGCTATCGTTTGATGCTAAATGTCGTTCAAAGGTCCATGTGTTAGAGTCTTGGTCCCCTGGGTGGCATTATTAGGAGGTGGTGGCACCTTCGAGAGGTGGGGCCTAGGGGGAGGACTCAGGTATTTGGAAGGGAGCCCTTGAAGGGATTATTGGGCCCCGCCTCTTCCCCTTCTGCTCCCCAGCTGTGGCACGAGAAGTCTTGCTCCCCGCATGCTCCCATCCTGATGCCCTGTCTCATCACTGGCTCAAAGCAACAGGGAACCATCATGGACCGAAACTCTAAAGCATAAGCCCAGGTAAACCTTTTYTCTTTATAAGTTGGTTTTCTCCAGTACCTGTTACAGTGAAGGAAAAGTGCCGGCACAGGGACCTCTTTGTAGCAGTTTAATGGACGCCTTTCCGACATGCAGCTCTTGACCATGTAAATAATGCCTTCCAGACTTTTTTTTTTTTTTTTTGAGAGGGGTTAGAGGTTGTTCTATTAAATTCAGTGACAGAACCAGTAAATAACAGTTAACTCTTTTTAAAATCAAGATTAAGAGACTAGAGTAGGTCAGGGTGCAGCTCCATGGTGGGGCGCTTGCCTAGCAGGTGTGAGCCCTGGGTTTGATCTCAGTCCTGAAACAGAAAAATGGGGCCTGTACGACACCAAGTGGACGTTCAGTAAAACGTGAGCTGGACGGGGATGGAGATGGCCCTAGAGAAGCCTCAGCCTGGCCCTGGTGAGCGACTGAGTGAGCGGGGTCCTGGTCCTGCGGTGGGCGTTCCCAGGAGCCCCCTCTGCTGGCTGCTGTGCACGTCCCCTGCAGCCACCGMGTGGGGAATACTGACGGCTGCTGAGAAGTCTGTGTGTGGTGGGGCAGTGAGGACGGGAGGTGTGGCCTTGCTGACCAAGTCCTTTGGCCCTGGCCCATTCCCGTCCCATGGAGATGGCCATGGACACCTGCAGACATCGTCGTTCACAGGAGAGCAGCTGTGGTGGTTCTCAGCCTTTCTGTTTTGTGGGGAGGGTCCTGCCAACTAGACTCTAAACACTCGGCCCTTCCTCAGCACCCTCGTTAGCTAAAAGATCTTTGTTGGATCCACTGTTATTTTTTACGTACAGTGAAGTCACATTTGGTTGTGCGTCGAAGGATGCTAGCAAGAGAATGGAAAGACAGCCCACGGAAGGGGAGAGAAATACTTGGAAACCGTCAGCTAAATGTGTAGACTAAGTAGGGTAGCCACACAGTGGAGTGCTACTCAGCCGTGAAGAGGAATGCAGTTCGGACACAGGCCACACTACAGGTGAGCCCTGAGGACTTTGTGCTGAATGAAAGAAGCTGATCACGGCAGACAAACTACTGTGTGATTCCGCTCCCGTGCCATCCCCAGAGTGGCCAAAGTCACAGGGACAGTCAGGAGAACAGTGGGGGGCCAGGGCTAGGAGGAGAGGCAGGGGGTTTAGTGTTCAATGAGTACAGTTTCTGCTGGGGAAGGTGAAGAAGTTCTGCAGGTGGGAGGTGGTGACGGCCTCTCCACACTGAATGCTCAGCGCCTCTGAATGATAAATTTTCAAACGGTCAAAATGGTGAATTTTATATCTGTCTATTTTATCATGTTTACTTCTGTGCAGTGCTGGATTGACCTGGGCCTTGTGCATGCTAGGCAAG